GTTTTACTACTACTGAACCCTTGACTGGGGAGTGTGTTGAAACCTGTCGGTGCAGCCATTGATTCTGTTACTGTTTTACTTGTCCATCCTGCATTAGTTTTGTTTCTGTTTTGTTCCATCAACAACATCTGGGACACTCTTGTTACCGACTATCAGTAGCCTGTATCATGTGGAGGAAAAGTTTTTCTAGTTGTCTTTTATGTTTTATTATTTTCCTAGGATAAAAGCACAATGTTTTTCCTTCTTGCTTTACAAAAATGATAACGAGTCTTTCATTCAATCACTATCGTCGCTCTCTTATTTTGTCTTTATAGTCAATTTACAATCGCTCCTTCGTCATACCTAAACAAAAGGTATATAGGTATCTTCAGTTGTTAGGGTATACCAATCCCTTCTCATTTTTCCAGTACGCTTTTTGTTGCTCCTAAATAGAAACGAATGCGGCGGCGTTCGGACATATGCCCCATAAATTTCTCACTTCCTTCTATTTTCCTCAGATTGATTTAGCCTAGTGTAAAATACCCACCACCACTCCGGTAGTGTCCTGTTACTAGTATCCGCAATAGCGAATTATTATGGAAAGGAAATGTGCGATGCACGGGCTACGGGTGTGCAGTTAGGGCGAGGGCTGCCACAGTGGCGGTTAGATGAAATGAAGAAGATATATTAATAGTGAGAGAGGTGAAGTCATGGGAAAAGGTGGGTGGGTGCGAGTGATGGTGGAAAGGTGGATGAGAGGCGAGCCATGTAATAACAATCAGGTAAGTGCACATCTAAAGCGAACCCCTAAACCACGGTTTTATCCCTTTCACGAATTCTATAATTTGTTTACTTATAAACTCCCGAAGGATAAGCCAATCGTTACTCATGCTGCAGGAAATCCTACGAACAAAGTGACCTACTTGGCCAAGTACACACCCTCTTTACCTCTGGATACCCCCCCGGTCAAACGGAAATCCCCCCAGCAGGATGGAACGTATATAAAAGAGGCGGGCTTTAGGAATTAATCAGGCAACTCCCTGATGCGGTTTACCCCCCAATCATCGGGACTACAAATATACCCCCGAAGTTTCACTACCGCCACCCCTACATACACGGGCCCAGATGTGCCCCCATCTTCCTCACCAATCCTCATTCCGCCCCACACATCCTCGAACGCCAAACATTCAAAGCCGGAGGACGCCCAGACTAACAACGGATCACTGTCGAGGGAGCAGTGCTCGAGAGATAGTCTTATCATACAAAGGGTAAAATACCATACAATACTATACATGCGTTACGGCGAATTTCTGTAAATTCGGATGCAAGAGATGGTTTACACATGATGTAAAGGGGAACATAAAACCCAGCTTACGCCCCTAAATAAACAATCAATTCTAAGCAACGCAGATAAGAATATTGTTGGGGCCAACTTGGATCTTCCTCCGCAGCACCCCCCGTGCCCTCCCTCACCCATGGGCCCCCTCATCTACTACTCATGGCACCTCTCCAGGGAAAAACGCCAGATGCCGAACTTCCGTGAGAAACTCGAGCATAACTCTCTATCTCCACGAAGATCCGGTACACTATGTTGTCCCCGGCAAAACCGAGTGATCGTGATATCAACACCTGACCCTTAAGTCTTTTGTCTAATAATCACCCTACTCAAGCGACTGGACTAAGGCCTTGGGTCACAGCCAAAAAAAAAAAGAAGAGGGAAAAGGAGCCACCTCAATCCGGCGACCCGAGTAATCCCGGCAGTTCGACGATCTACAATAACATTGTTGCGAGTAAACTCGACCTACCAGTATCATACTCCGCGCAACATAAGCTACTGACGTGAAAGACAACATCAGCGGCATAGCCCTGTATAAATATAGTGCGGGAGATCGCTTTCCGGTATCCTACGCTACCAATGTGATGTAGGGCACGGTATCAATACTTTTGAACATGGAAACTCACGGTATAGTTCCGACACAAGAGGCGCATCCGCCTTTGGTGTAAAGAATATGGAGGATACCAATTTCTGCATTTCTCATCCTGAATCCAATCATAAATTTCGTCGACATTCCAATAGCCTTACTTTGCTAAATTATCTAATGAAAAACAATCAAAGACAAAAAAAAAATGAAAACCCGTCAAAACATATACCCGTTCCAATGGCTGATCTAACGAAACCCATAGATGAAAGCTCCTATAGCAACAGTTTCTAACCTAACTTGTTATCAGTTGTAAGAATATGAAAATCTAGGCTCAAGAGGGGGCCCCTTCGACAACAATGAAAAAAAAGCAAGCAAGAACAGCATATGTGGTAGACTGCCTCTCATAATATTGAACTGGGAAAACGGATGGACCCTTTACGAGTCGGAGGTGGGCGTAGGCACTGGTAGAGGAACGGCCGGGCGCGTAAGGTGAGGCTAGGGGAAAGTATTTTTCTATGCAAAGTTAGATTCAGAACAATAAAAAAGAAGCGGACAATTTATAGGGCGCACTAAAAATAAAAATAAAAACCAACATCTTAGGCACCCGTGTGTATGAAGGAGGCCCAGGCAAGGAAATTACTGGGTTTTTGCTCCCGAAATTTCTTCACGGCCCGGTGAAAAGCAGCGGAGACGCGCAGATGCCCATCACCCATTTCTTGATATTGGAAAAGCAAGTTGTAGAAGTCTCTTGCGACTTCACTACATGAATTGTCATCCGTTTCCCACAAGTTTGCAAGCGTATGACTAAATCCGGCCAGTTGAAATGCGCTAGCTAGATGTATGACCTCGTCAGCTAAGATGGCTGAGGTGTTCCTAGCTGAGGAACAGGCTGAAAGATACGCAAGCTGGGCATCCTGTGTGACCATGTCCGATATATCTCGAACCCGCAGTTTACCAGCACCAACCCCATCAGGGGTGAACAGAACTAGGTGGCTATCGGAAGGGTTGGTATCAGACACTCCGTGGCATGCAAAATGGACAATGTCATTGTATTGAACTTGCTCCAGGACTTCGGCGGGAGTTGGGTTGCTCAATACCTTGGCCCCAATCGAATTTTGAGCGACTAAATGGCATATATGCTGAACTTCTTTTTCGACACCAGGTAGACTTGTCGCACCGGGTGTTTTTGGCATGGGAACGAGGAGTAAGCGGGGTTTCCGTTTTTTGAGAATTCTTTCTTTCTCAGAGTGTCCGGCCGAAAAAGCGCCATATCCGTCGAGTAACCGGAAATCTGTTTGACGTGCATAGGTGAGGGCTTTGATCGTCGGGATACATGTTGAAATGGCATGACTTAAAGTGTTCCGCGTTGAGCCTCTCGAATGGTAACCAGCCGCATGGAAAGGTGCCATGCTTAATTGTCCCACACCAATCCACCATACCCTATTCAAATTGGAGGCCTGAATGCCCTCACTAATAATGGTCTTGCGGTTTTCAAGGTAGCCAAAAACGGGCCCCACAGCTGCATCCCATAACCATATGAGGAGTTCCTTCATTCGTCTGTTGTCCTGACCCCGCTTAAACAACCCACCTCCTCCGAAACTAGCCAATTCCCTCATCCAATCGCTGGTTTCTTCGAATCTCAATCCTGGAAGCTCTAATGAAGTTATAGCAGAGGTAGTGACAATTATTGCATCACTCCTATAAGAAGTGCAGTTGAAGACAACAATTGGGCCATTTATTGCCATTTCCATCAGATCCTCCCGAGGAGGCGGAAGCAAGAATCCCGCATAGCCAGGGAACGCCCGGATGCGAGCCAGAATTGCTTGCATCTCATTGACAGCTTCCCAACATCTGGATATAGCACGGTTTCGGTTTTGGCCAGGTGTCTCGTCACTTGTGCTATTTGTTTCATCAATTGGCGAGTCAATCTCAAGCCTAAGGCGCTGTAATTGAGTGAATTCAAGCGGGTAATCGGTTTCAAGATCCGAAACTTCAGACCTGGAGTCGATTGTAAAGCCCATAATTATTCCACGACCAAGCTCTAGCAACTTAAGACTGTGGTAGGGTTCTCTCCCAGCCTGCAGGGCAACAGAAGCAGCAGTTGAAGATAGCCCAGAAAGCTCCGACAATATGTGTTGTTGGTCATCTCGGTTTAAGATTCGGAGATTGACACTTGGCATCAAGTTAACCGCACGCTCTAGAAACGAGCTTGCCTCATGATACTTTCCATGGGAATACAGTAAAGAAGCTGCCGCACGAGCAGATTTTATCCGAACCCTGGGTGGCGAGGTGCGGCAATTACAAGCCTCATCGTATAGTTGAAGGCTCCCGTTCAAGTCATCAATGGAGTGTACACTCAAGAGCCTGGCCTCCAAAAGTTTGCCCAAGGCAGTGCACAAGGTTGCTCGACCGGGATGATCCATTGGGCAAGCTTCTAGTGCCTTTTGTGCGTGCTCGATGGCTCTTCGGAGGTCACCAGGGGCTGCCTTTTGCTGGAACCTTTTGAAGATCATATTCCCCAGGTTAAAGTGTTTACCCGCTCGATTTGGGTGATCTTCAGGGGTAGTGGCTAGCGCCTCTTCGCCGTGTTCAATTGCTTTTTGGAGGTCACCAAGGTCTCCTATGTGCCCAAACCTCATAGAGAGCATCGCTCCAAGGCTATTGTGTCTGTCCGCTCGATCGGGGTGATCTTGAGGGGTAGCATCTATCGCGTCTTCGATGTGTTTAATAGCGTTTTGGAGGTCACCAAGGTCTCATATCCGGTCAAACCTCATGGAGAAACTGTTTCCCAAGTTGTTGTGCCTACCCGCTCGATC